CCCCCTGAAAGCACTTTAATCAGTGGGGTGCATGCTGGGAGGAATCTCTCCTCTCCTCCTGGCATGCACCTCCCTGCCTAAAGCGCTTCCTCTCGCCCGCCCGATCTCTGCTGCGGGCGAAAGAGAGCAGTTTAATCAGTGGTGTGTGTGCTGGGAGGACAGGAGAGATTCCTGAAAGCACTTTAATCAGTGGGCTGCATGCTGGGAGGAATCTCTCCTCTCCTCCCAGCTCCCTTTTGCCCGCAGCAGAGATCGGGCGGGCCAGAGAAAGCGCTTTAGGCAGGGAGGAGGAGAGATTCCTCCCAGCACGCACCCATTGAAAGCATTTTAATCAGTGGGCTGCATGCTGGGAGGAATCTCTCCTCTCCTCCTGGCATGCACCTCCCTGCCTAAAGCACTTCCTCTCGCCCGCCCGATGTCTGCTGCGGGAGAAAGAGAACTGGGAGGAAAGGAGAGATTCCTCCCAGCACGCACCCATTGAAAGCATTTTAATCAGTGGGCTGCGCATAGGGAGGAATATCTCCTCTCCTCCCTGCACGCATCCCATTGATTAAAGTGCTTCCTCTGGCCCGCCCGATCTCTGCTGCAGGCGAAATGGAGCTGGGAGGAGAGATTCCTCCCAGTACGCACCCCACTGAAAGCGCTTTAATCAGTGGGGTGCGTGCTGGAAGGAATCTCTCCTCTCCTCCTGGCACGCACCTCCCTGCCTAAAGCGCTTCCTCTCGCCCGCCCGATCTCTGCTGCGGGCGAAAGAGAGCAGTTTAATCAGTGGTGTGCGTGCTGGGAGGGCAGGAGAGATTCCTCTCAGCATGCACCCCACTGAAAGCGTGTGGATGGGCGGGGGAGCAAGCAACAGCTGATGGGCTGGGGAGCGGGACTTTTTGAAAACTGCGTGGGGTGCAGGACAAATTGTACAAAAGTGTGCCTGTCACGCTGAAAGTGGGACGTCTGGTCACCTTAATCAAAGGATGTCCTGGGAGGAGAACTGTAGCATTCATGTTGCAGAAAATGGCAGACTTAGACTTCTCAGGATACAGGAAAAGTTTATTTGGCAGCCAGGTTCAGAACACTAGCCCATGGCTAGTATTGCAAGTTCTGAACAACCTTCATTATCGAAGCACACGTTCTTAAACATTCTCAAAAGCGGCACAACACAGAAACACTTAACTCATTTCTTATTGGTTACCTTGAGGAAAAAACCTTATAAGTAGATAGGGTCTTCCTTCTCCTTTTGTCTTGGGCCATAGGTACTGACTACGTGTCTTTATGCGAACTTTAGCTTGTGGTTTTGGGCTTTTGACATTTACTGGAACATTTACTGGACTTCTGTGAAGGCTGATGACATTTCCCCGTCTTCTTACAAGCAAGCTTTTTACCTCTCTTATGCCATGTCTTGTTTTTATATTTTAATTTACATTTTATTCTGCTTTATCCACACTACTTTTCCCAGGATGGTGCGCTGCTTTTTCTGGATTTTCCTGGGTGGAATTTAATGCCACTAGGAACTCTTGATCATTGGTCTGCACCTTGGCCCTTGTACACCTTTTTATTGTCCACTGCTGGTGGAAATGGAGTTTAAAGCTTTGGTGCTCCATCGCTGGAGGTCTTTAAGAAAAGCCATTTGTCTGAAATCGTATAGGGTCTCCTGCTCGAGCAGGGGGTTGGACTAGAAGATCTCCAAGATTCCTTCCAACTTGTTATTCTATATGTTTAGGTGGACAGGGGCTGAACAGACCCTCAAGTTGCCTCGGGAGATTCCTATCGAGCTGCTGTAGGGCAAATGCCAGAGTTCAACTTGCAGATGGTTTCAGTTCCTGTTGTCACCTCACATGGTCTGGAATGATCAAAAGGTTGCTGACCAAACAGCCAAGAAGTGCAGCAGGTTGTAAGGCCATGTTCATCGGTTACAATACTTCTGGCAAGAATACATAATGCCTCCAAATAGAGAGTGCTACCAAAATATTTACCAGTTTAAAAGGGCTCCCTCCCCTCCCCAAATAGTTGTCCATTTTGTAACTGGAATATAACTAATAGAATCTAATTTACTATGTAGCCCACCTGACATTCAACTGCTGAGAAAAGTATAATCTGGAAAATGGAATTTCTATCTTTAATCTTTCAAAACAGACTTCCGGGCCTAGGAATTTAGCTTTTGGCTAAGTGCCTTGTGCTGGTTCATATAAAAAAAAGACATTTCCAAAACAGTTTGATATTCTGGTAAAAGTTTATTGGTATATGCTTTTTTTCTTTTTAGACCGATCAGATGAGACAAAAAGTTGTTTAAGGAAGTCTCTTCTTAACATTTAGCAATGTTTGGCCTAGACTTTTGGAGTTGGTGTTGGGGGTGGCCACCACAGCCTTGGCAGAAGAGTACAATTTTACTACCATTAGATGGTCAAGCAGAAGAGAATGAACAGCCAACTTTAAGGAGAAACATGCAGCAGCAAAAAGCAGAATGGCAAAGCGGCACCATTGGGAAGGCCTCAGCTGCTAACTCACTATATTCTTTTGAAGATAGTAACTACTCCAGTGTTTGGAAACAAAGTACAATATAAAAAGGAAAATATTAAATTGCCAAGGAACAAGAAATAAGTTGCCAGTCCAATTTTCTCAAGAAATGAATGTACAGAAATAAAAATACATGGTTTTGTGGATTAACTGAGAAAGGAATCTTGAGTTGCACAAGTGATTGCCTGATAACAAAATTCAAAGGTAGACTTTACAATGTCAATCAAAGGCCAAAGTGGAAGATATCTTTATTTACAGAGGGAAACATTAAATAGCACTTTAAAGCAACGATTGTCAGACACAGACATTTAATTTTTGCAGCTCACTTGAGACATAGCATTATTATTACATTTCCTTCTGGCTGACCTGGGCCTCTCTGATAACTGGGGGTGGGTGAAAGACCTTCCTGCCCTTCGCGGATCTAGAATATGTTGCCCATCAACTCCCGTAACTCCCCGGGCCACTTTTTCTCCTCCTCTGTGGAAGACCACGTCCATGGACTTGAGACTAGATGTAGTCCAGCCATCTCTTAATACCAGTATGCTACACTTTAACGGTTGAGGTATACTCCAAAGGAGCTTTGTTAGAAGTGCTTGCAACCAATGCGATCCAAGAATGAACTGCCTGCTACACAAAGATAAACCTATCAGTAGTTCTGGTTTGATGTTTGGTAGATATCAATCATAACTTCAGCAAAGCTATCATTGCCTTTTCCTTGTTTTAGAAATGTCAATTTGTTGTTTTGTCTCAACATCCTTGTTGACATGATTAGCTTTATCTCAAGCTATGTATGTTCTGCAATCACATTGTTTTGCAGATATAAAAAGTGATTTAGGGCACAATATCTTGCACCCTGAAAATCCTGCATCACTTCTGACCATAGAGAGACCATCTTGTATGCCTGTGTTTCCTGCCCCTCTTTGCCCATTTCCAGATAAGCAGTGAAACCATCTGATTGCCCCATCAGCACCAAGCTCATTTGAGAGCCAGAAGATGTGAAGATGGAAGAGGCCAGGCTATGAGCAACAGATGGGCAGGCCTAATTTCAGTGCCAGTGCGAAAAAGAACTTAAATGCATAACTTTTTCACCTTGGATTCCTTGCTCAGATGAGCTTCTCTAGACCACCCCCTTGAAAAAGGCTTACTCAGCTTAACTGGAGAAACACCACCCACCGTTTCTGGATTAGGAGGGAAGCCATCAATCATCTGCACAGTACAGCAGTAATTGAAGTTATTTCAAAAGTCCATACTTGAACAGCTAACAGGAAACAAATGTTTCTGGGAACAGACTTATAAATGAATAACTGCTAAATTGACATGTAATTATATGGTGAGGAGTCTTTTTCTCTAACTTAAATACCTCTCTTACAAGTCCTGTAAAGCGAAAGGAGAGGTGGTTGGTATTTAATTACACATTTACTTGCTTATTATTTTCAAAGGGCTATAATCCATCAGGAACCCATTTAGTGAAGCTTGAAAAAGGGTATCTAATAGGATTTTTTTTAAAAAAATCAGATATTATAAGGAACATTTGACTATTTAGCCAGATTTTTTTGCTTTCAGAAATTATGCGAAAAATGGAACTGACACCCAACATATAGTTGAGAAAAATGACTACATAAAATGAGAGAGCAGTGGCTAAAAATAAGGGAAATTTCCAAGGTTTAAAGCAGGTAATCTCCGTTTTACACAGGGAGGAGTTTCCAGTTGCCTATGAATAAGAATGTGATTATCTCTAAACTTTTAATCTCCCCACCATCTTTCAGTTTCTCCTGTGTTTCTTAGAGCCTATGTGGGGCAAAAGCCTGCTACCTAATCAGACAGAAAGCAAGCCTCCCCTCAGTTGGTTGGATTCCCCTAGCACCAGCCGCGCTTAGCTGTTCCATTGGTCCCAGGCAGCCCTGGCTGCCCAAACCCTCTTACAGGAAAGTGGACCCGCTGGCAGAGCTGCTGAGAGCATTCGGACCATAGTTCCCCCTCCCCTCCCCCCATTTTGAACTCTGAAAGGACAAGGAGCTTTCAGAGTCTCATTCGGTTTAATTCCTTCCTGCAAAATCTTCACCCCTGGGCCTTGGACGCCATTGGCCTCTGCAAACACCACCGGAGCCAACTATGTTGCCAAGCAATTGCCAGGACGTTTGTTGTGGTCAGCTCTTAGGGAAAAATGGCATCTTAAGGTTTTGCATTTTGGCAGCATCCACTTTACCCCCACTTAATAATGGAATATTGGCTGAGAAAGGCCTTCCTTGTTCGTGGGGTTAATTCAAGGGCAGCATGAATAGATTGCTGGTGCCAAGAGGTACAGATCTGAATTGATCCAAGAGGCGGTGAAGCCCAGGTCAGAAAATCCCAAAAGGTCTTGAACCCTCTAATTTCCAGTGGACAATTCAGCAAGTACTTCATTTATTTACTTGATTTATGTGCCGTTTTTCTGTTTTCAGTGAACTGTTTTGGTTCAGCTGAAAGACTGTGCCAGAGCCCTAGGTGGTTTCCCAAGAAGACCAGAGTGAATCCCTAAGGTTTAGATTAGTCTGGTGTTCTCTCTCTCTCTGCTATTTCAAAAGGCCATTCTTCATCGGACTGCTTGGTAGTGGAAATGATAGCATTGATAGCATTTGTCCAGCTGCTGTGCTGACACACAAACTGTCACTCAGAATCAATTGCCTCCGTTGTTTCATCCTTTTGCATGTCATTCAAGCAACAAAATCAGGAAGGAAACTGCAGTTTGATTTAAATACCTGCTGAATAACTGTAATGAGTTCTGCATTTATGCCCATTTCTTTTAATGGAGTTTGACTCCTGGGATCCACAGCCCAGGGCCAAAACTGCTTTGTGGACCAAGCAGCAGCTCTTCAACCTGCATAGCTGGCCAGAAGCAACAGCTCAGAAAGGAACATGGGGGGGGGGGCAACTCAAATCCCCCTCGGCCCCTTCTCAGGTGGATTCTCTCTACATGCCCATTATTAAATGGCTTAAAATAATTGGCTGGTCTGTGGAAGCACCAAAGACAGAGGTATTTTTATATTTTGCTAAACATCTCCAGCAGTTTGCATATTCTGAATTATTTACTTCTCAATTTCCTATTGACAAAAGGGAATTTGGTCCTTGTTACAAGAGAAATGAGCAGCTTTTTGCAAAGCACCAATTTAAATTTCGAAGCACAAAGAAAACTTGCCTTTCCATCCAGTTGAAGCAGAAGAGGACTTGACTGTTTTACCACCAAGCGGTATTAAGCCTCCTTGCATGCGTTTCCACAGGCACGTACACAAAAGCAGCAACACAACATCATTATCTGCCACTTGAACTAGCTCCCTTCTGGGATGCAGAGCCTGACCTCGAGAGCTAAGCTGCCCTGTATTTTATTGCAGGGTGGATCTCAGGACATCCTCTCCCTCTGCAATTTGCAATGTGTACGTTTTTAGGTAAGTCAACCCATCCTGTGAGAAGATATGAAAAATGTTTTGCTGAATTGGGTTCAAGTGAGCTGCGCTCTCACTCGCAGCATCGCTCAGCTAAATGCCCCGTGACTGGCTCAAAGGAGCTGCTGGCTTCTCCCTTTTCTGTCTTTGGCTCTCAGGAGATTGCTTGGTGTGGGTTCCCGTCTGCTGCTGCCTGGACTTCATCCTGTGGCAATGGAAGCTGCAAAAGTAGCTCTATCTGTTGTATCCACCCTACCCCCCTTTTCTCTAGGTCATTTTAAACTTTCAGCTATTCCAACCACAAGGCCTAAAAGATGCTCGGTAAGGCCTGCTTCATGTTGCTGAGAGCTGTTCGTCCCCCACTCTCTGGCGAAATAGAAGCTCTGGTGGGAAACATTTAAAGCTCTTTATTACAAGAACAGGAATGGCACAATTTGTTCCAATAGAGCAAAGTTTTCCCCTACAGATGATGCTAATTTCCACTTTACACTAAACTGTAATGTTTTTATTATATTGTTTTAGCACCTTGGAATAAGGTATCTGCAGGCAGAAGGCTGGCTGCCTTGTTTTCAGCCTGTTATTTCAATTCCTGCCATGAACCAGTTCTAGGAGATGGACCAGTTTTGGAACTGCAGTTGTCGGCATGACAGACTACTCCTAGCCTGCAAATAGTTCAGCAGCTTTGTTAGAAGTGCTTGCAAGCAAGGGGAGGGGAGGTTACTCCTAGGGGGGAAAGCCTTCTTTTTAAAGAATTGAAAAGCTGCTTCCAACAGGCCAATTTAAATGAGAGCCAGGCAGCTTCCAGGGCCCTGTAGAGGGGAATCTTTCCTTCCATTTCACCCGTGGAGTTTTCTTCCTGCAGCCAGTCTGGGTGGGAGCAATCAGGGTCTGCAACAATCTGACTTTTCTTCCAAAGGCTGCTCGACCCCCCAAAGTCTCCATTTGAAGAAGGCAGTCTGCTTATGGCACGGAGTAGGCCCATGAATCTCTCAGGCTCCCTCCCTCGCCTTGTTTTTTGAGGAAGAGAGAGAGAAGAGAGCAAAATGGGAGGTGGGTTTCCTCCTGCCACACAGGTTTGGGATCCTGCAAGATCTTGATGCCTCTTTGCCCTTTTGAAATAGAAGGGAAGGAAAATGGCGGGGGAGGGGCCTTTGTCTGTGACAGAGCCCCACTGCCCAAGCAGGTGGGGAAGACCAAGGAAGGCTGGGATGACAGACAGTGGCCTAAGGGGGGGATGGGCAAGAGTTGGCAGAGAAAAGCTCACCAACTGACCAGTTCCACCCACCTTGACTGCCATTCTGTGAAATCTCAGCTGGGACAGAAAGGTTGGCAAAGGAAATGAAGGCTACACAAAGATTTTGAGACGTTTTCAAGGAGGATCTTCCTGCCACCTCAAGGCCAGAGGCTGGTTCTGCTGGCTGGCACCACCAGACATACAAAAGGAAGTAAAACTCTGCCTCTCTATCCCAGCCGAGCGTTTATGAGCCATGCTAGACACCACATCACTTCTCTTGGCAGAAGCAAAAGGCCATTTCTGCACGGAATACATATTCTTTAAAGCAGAATGCAATCGCAGAAAACTTTATCGCCACTTCAGTAAATAATTTATGCATAACAATATTCCTTAACGGTGCAGTGAGAAATTACTTCTACAAGCTTAATCCATTGCAATTTCAGCAGTACTCATTGCACAAGTTATTATTGGCAGTGTGTGTGTGTGTGTGTGTGTGTGTGCAACTATGTGCGTGCATGTGTGTTCTTTGCTCTTGATATTCCCAATGGACACAGTAGAACTTAGGTGACTGACATGGAATAATAGCTGGATGCGATGCAGGTGAGGTGAACTCCAGATTTCTGACCCACCTGAGACCCCTCGAGAAGGGGGTTCCATGGTTCCCTTTGGATGGCGTGTCAAAAGAGACTCAGCAGTCTACCTGAGAGGGAACCTTTCGATCTCAAAAATGGGCCGGGCAGCAAGGAACTTGCAGCCCAACTGCAGCCTAATCTGGCACCTTCTAAGGGTTTTGTATCACAGCTGCCCTCTTTTCCCATTGCAGATGAGGAGTTGGGAAGCTCATCGATGCAACTCAGAATCTGCCCCAACCCAAGACACCTGGTGCAGACACGCAAGTGGTGGGTCCCCAGCACTCATGGAACCCGCTGCCTTCCCTTTCCACACCTCATCCACTCACCCAGATTTGCTTCTGTCCGTGGTTTCAGGGGGGGTGCTCAGAGGGGGTCTCTGGGAGATGGCACTCTTCCTGCGACCATCCAGGATGGGAACTGCTCGCTGCCCCCCCGTCTCTGGGAGTGCTGCCCCACAGTACCCACCTAAGTCTCCTAAGGCCTTTGGGGCCATCCTGTTGCAGGTAAAGGAGGCTGGGGGTGCTGGAAGGCCTCCTGGTCAGATTATCCCACAATAAATATTAGGTTTCTCTGGCAGCTGCGGCTGCAGTGCAAGCATCCTTCTGCTCCTGAAGTTCAGAACAACTTTCATCAGGGAAGATGTGGCCATTTAACAAGTGTGAAAAGCACCCCTGCCCACACGGGTGCAAGCCCCCTCCTGCTTCAGGGCCATCCACGGGCCTTCAAGCAGCCCTTAGACGGCATTCCACGACTTCCCTCCTTTGTGCAAGAGCAGCAGGCTAGAAGTGGCTGATGGGTATGTGAAATGCACCCACTCCCTCCCACACGGAACTTAAGATGCCCACAGATTTCTCTCAGGCGTGGTTGCATCTGTGGCTCCACAGACACGGGTGGAAGAGGGAAGATGCCACGGGTGCTTCTTGTCTTCCCCAAAGGCTCCACGAGACAGCCTCGAGAGGAGCGCCATGCCAAGCCGGGCTCCTCTTGGGGGCATTGATAAAAGATGGACCATTGCCGGGGAAGCTTCCCCTGTTATCCTCATGATGTCGCAGCGAGATCAGAGGGGGCAGCAGAAGGCAAGAGGAGGAAGGGGAGAAGAGGCGAGAAGAAGAGGCGGCCTGTGTGTGTGGGGAGAGGGAAGACTCAGGACTCTGCCTTCTCTTTCTTCTTGCTTTTCTTCAGAAAGGAGGGGGCCCGAAATTTCTTCTTCTTCTTGGAGGGAGATTTGGAAGGTGAGCCTTCGGGGCTCACGGGCCCACTGGTGACCAACTCGGTTTTGTCCTTTGGGCCCTCGGGGGTGTCTGCATTGGTGTTCAGCTGGCTGATCCCCTTGCTGAGGTGCTCTTCCACCGTTTGCTCGTCCTCTTTCCCGTTGACCTCCACCGCCTCCGGCTCGGCTTTGTCGGCTGCGGCAACATCAGCAGGGCCCTGGCTGCTGCCCGGCTTCTTCCCGTCTTGGAAAGAGAGAGAAAGGAGTACTGAGTGTTTACCCCGAGGAGCTGAGCACTGAGAACCCAGCCCTGCAAGCCCCAAAGGCTGAGGCGGGAGAGGCCAACCAGGTCCGTGTCACTCCGGGCCTCTGGCAGGCTGGCTAAGAAAGGAAGGGGGGCGGGAAAAGCTAGGCCTTCAGCAGGGACAACTACGTGGGTGGGTGGGTTGCTTTGTTTTTTAAAGTCACAATGGGGTCCAGCCTGCACAAACACCTGTAAAAAGGCGCAGGCCTGCGATCCTGGGGCCGCTCTCCCCACTCCCCCATGGGCACCGCTGGTCTGGAGGAGCAGGCAGGGGGATGAAATGCAAAACCAGCCTCCCACAAGCTGGCGCCCTTGGAATGGGCTGCACAACCCCCTTCCCACTCAACGGGTGATGGGAAAAGAGCCCAGCATAACGGTAGGGGGGGCTGTTGGGGGGTGCCTGGGGGCCAAAGAGATGCATCAACCAAGCTTCTGGATAGCAGGAGCAGAATCAAGAAGTCAGCCAGAACCCAAACTGTTCCAATGGAGTTGTGTGTGGCGGGAGAGAAGGGCCAAACTCCCCTCTGGGGGCTGAAATCCTGCTGGAGACTCATCCACCGTGGAAGCCCCCCCCTCCGGTTGCCTCCTGAGGCTGCGGAGGCCTCTGGTGGATGAGGCTGAGCCCCTTTCTTAGCCCCCCCCTTTATTCTTGCCGTTTATGGAGCCGCCCTGGGAGAGACACAGCTGGTTTTTCTGCTTACGGAATCTCTTCCTCTCTGGGGAGGGCAGGATTTGGTTTTCAGGGCTGGTTGGGAGGCTGCATTTCCAAAATGGGTGTATAGGACCATGAATTTAGTAGCACCTAGATCACAAACTAGATGTGATTTAAATCAAATTCAGTGAAAGCTTTCATTGTAAACATCTCATTCTGCCATGAAACATTACAAGTAGACAGCCATTTTTCCTATGCCCATAGTTTGGCGGTGGGTTGGGGGGGGGAATGCCATGGTACATTATTGAGTCCTCAAGCTGCGCATATGCTGCTGTAGGCTCACCGGACCAACATCCCTGACTAGCAGGTGAATATCCCACTGTTAATGAGGGCTGAAAGACCACCTTGCCTGGGACCACCTGCTCAGGTGCCAGCAGATGGGAGATCTTAACTGGGAGTGCTACACTGGGAGCCTCGGAGCTATGGAACAGTAGCTGGTTTCTATCTAGGACTGCAGACATGTTCTATGGACTATTGATGGCCACAGAGCAATGATGCCCACTGCAAATATTCAGGAAGCTTGCAGAATTAGGAGAGAATGCATCTCTCCCCCTCTATGTCAGACGTAATTTAGGAAGGAAACTGTCTTGAAAGAATTCAACTGGCTCTGAGGTTTGGTGATGCCCAGGACAGAACAACAGGACAGTTGCTGGGCCAGGTGTCTGTGAACTGGGCAGCTCCTCCTCCCACTAATAGTCATGGAACTGCATAAGCCCCTTTTTTTAAAGGAAAAGAAACACCTGGACAAAACACCCATAATTACAGGCAGTTCATCTATCAAGTGACAGATTCTTACAGTAAGAGGGGACCGTCAGGTCAATTTTCCTTAACCTGCTGTCTTCCAGATGTTTGAGAACTTCAATCGGGTTAACTAGAAATTCTAGAAGTTGCCCACTCAGCCTCCTGGAGGATTTGTGCTGGGGAATGTGACAGGAGTTCATTTGGTAGTAACTCCTTCCTCTTGTGTAGTTCTCCAGAACATCTAAGGCAGTCCTCCCCTAAACCTTTTGCAAGCTTCCTGCATGCCAGCTGTCACTTCCTGTGACCATCATGCCCCCCAATCTATGACTTCCCATGGGGCCTTTACTGCTCCAGCAACCCATGGCCTTGCTCGGCCCAGCGCGTCCCCTCCCCTCCCCAGGGAGGTAGCTGGAAAGGGAGAAAGCAGCCTCTCTATACTTACTAAAGTGACAAGTATTCAGAACCAGAGGCAACTCCTTGGATGAAAGCAACACATGAAAAGAGAAAGGGAGACATTGTGGAGACAAACACGCCAAACACAATGGGGCAGAATGAGACAATGGCAAAGAAAAAGGGAGAGACAGACAGACAGACACACACACTAGCACACCTCCTCCTCCCACCTAAAGGAGCCACATAGACCAGGACTTTCTAATGTCAAAGGTCCAACCCCAAGAGGAGGGAAATACAGAGTCCTTGGCCAATGACTTCCCCAACCTTTCCTTCTTTGGATGAGCAATGACCATCGGAAAAAATCTCCATCTTTTACTGCCAGTTCTAATTCAGTCTGAGAAAGGAATTAGTTTTCAAAATTTCTTTTGAAGGACAAGATAACTGGGCAAACCTCCCTTGTGGGGCCCTTGTACTCCTTTGGTGACAGATGCCAGGTTTCGCATTTGTGGAAGGCTTCTCTAGTAAGCAACTGTGTCCCCCCCCCAAAAAAAAAATCCCTGAGGGAGGGAAGCTATCCAGGGAATTCCCTCCACTGAAGCTCTGTGCCTGGGAAAGGCTGAAGAAATCCTCCTCATAGTGACCCAGGAGTCAGGAATGAGAAGCACTTTAAAACAGTGTTTCTCAAACCTGATATCTTTAAGATGTGCCGAATTCAACTCCCAGAATTCCCAAGCTGGAATTCTGTGGTGGAGGTGCACATACCTTAAAGTTGCCAAGTCTGAGAAACACTGTTTTACAGATGGAATGCAGAGTTGCTGGCATAAGCCACACTAGATTGGTTGCATTCAGCGCCCTCAGTGGTCAGAATGCAGCATTGGAGACAAACTCTGCCCAGAGCCTGGAGTTTGATTTTGACAGAGCTTGAGGTGTGCTTTGGAGGTCAGTAAGAGGATCTGGATAGTTGGGGGTCAGAGGCTGACTCTGTAAACTGCTTAGAGAGGGCTGTGAAGCGGCATAGAAGTCTAAGAGCTACTGCTATTGTGAAGCCACATTTTACCAGTGTGGTCACCAATGATGAGACACCTATTATGGTGCAGATCAGGCCACCCTCAAACTTGACTTTTTAAAGATGTGGATCTTTTACTTTTCTAGCCATTACTTAAAGCAGGATTAGCTGCTCTGTCCAAAACCAGGCTTAATCTCCATTATCTTTGCTACATCCAGAGCTGCAATCTGGGTCATTGGCCTAAACCCTGGACTTGATATTATGTTAAACCAACGCAAATGAGACTTCCAATAGCTGACAGCAATGCGTAAATCCTGCAGCTTGGCGATAAAACAAGCTAATCAAAGGAAGATGGTGGGAAGCTATTTGCTGGAAAGAGCTAATGACTATTATTAACTCGATTTTTTTATAATGCAGACTGTCCTCATTGTTCTCAACAGTCTTGATATTTTGCGCCAGGAGGAGGAAGAGGCTAATGTAGGATTGCAAGGTGGTGTGCGTTTTGCTTCTTTCTCACATCAGAAAAAGCCCCCCAGCAGACGAGGGCTACAAACGGGACAGATGGCTCCCTGGCAGCTTTTGATCTCAGCCTTGGCTTGTTTGCATACTATTTTCTTTTGTTTTCTTAGGAAGTGAAAAATTTTATGCATGTATTTAAATTTATAGAAATTCTTGTAAAGTTCCTTGGAGAACTGTCCAAGAAACAACATCTGGGGGAGAAATAGCAGACTGAAGATGAGTCTGTGAAAAATGGAGCAGATGACTGCAGCAGAAGTGCCCATGAATGGACTGGCTCTTTGTAATATCCTATATGGACACGGGGAGGACTTGAGATTGCCCCAAAGTGCTCCAGACAGTGGCTCTTTGCAAGGAAACTGCAAGAGGCCAGTCTCTGGCAGGTTTAGAGCTCTGGAAGACGAGGAAATAATCTCCTTGCTGAAGAAACTGCAGTCAGGGTTTTTGAAAGGATACTAGATTCGCATAGTTGGTTTTCTAATCACTTTTGGAAGTTACATTAACTGCTTTTCAACTTTTATTAACCTTTGGATCAACAAGTTTGAGAGTGCCAGGTGAATTTCCTTCAATCCTTACTGAAACTAATTATTAACTACAAGTTTAAGAAATTAAGAATATATTTTATTTTTGGAACAAACAACAAATGTATGAAAAGAATTTTGATTTTAGAACTTTATAAAAAAACCAAGGGTCCAGATAAATTTGAAATAATTTTTTGGAATTAATTATAAAAAATCCTTCCCTTGGGGGAATGCTTTTGTTTTGATTAAAGAATTTTAAAAATGTCTGCCAGTATAGCTAAAGCGTGTCTAGAAGATAATATGGAAGAGGAATAAGTTTCTTCAGAAAAGATGGAGACAGATGTGGAAGTGGATTTACAAATGACAGACTACGAGTGACATGGAAAAAGAAGCTACACTAGACATACAAGAGAAACTGGATGATGTCTTAATAAGTAAAATGAATATACAAATAGCAAACTAAAAGAGTGATTTGTATAATCTTCCTATATTGGATTTACAATAGATGCTTGTTAAAGCTTTAAAAAAAATTCTGAAAAAGAAAAAATGAAATCAAGATTGATAAAAGTAAAAGGAAGAAATATAAAATTGGTTTATTTGTTCTAGGTTCAAATAGATATGTTGTTATTTCTGGTAACCCTTGATGGACTTTTGATGACCAGGACTGAATGACAAGGCCTTGAATGTTTGTTAAGAGGTAAGAGAGGGGATAACATATATTTATGTATTTTTATTTTTTACTTTCTGCACTATTTTTCCTATTTTTTATTTTACTTTTATGCTTGCATTAGTTTGGTTGTAAAATTTTAATAACATTAGTCATAAAAAAGAGAAATGTCCAAACAGTCAAGAGGGCAGCCACAACTCTTCTCAGGACTGAAAATCCCACCTTGATTTTTCTGATACACTGAGAAGCAGATCCCCCCTCAATCATTTCTGATGATCTATTATGGCAGGTGATCCAGCTAGCAATCTTGAAAACGGGACCCCCTCAGGCCTCATTCGGTTAGCCACAGTGGCCAGACGGGGGTTCCCTGTCCTCTGCATCTAGTCAGCTCAGGCCAATCTCTTTCTAGGGTTTCTAAAAAATCCCATCCAAGCTGGTGTCCATCCCGCATCTGGTGTCCAGTCGTTCTAGAGATCATGATGGCCCCCAGATGTTTAGGCCGCAAAGGCGCCCTACCTTCCGGAGCTTTGGAGGGAGACCCGGCAGGGCTCATTGCCCCAGGCTTTGTGGGGCTCTTTTCGGGAACGCTGAGGGTGGATTCTTCAGGGGATGTCCCTTCCTCCTCTGGGCCACTGTCCTTCTTTTCCCCTGGAAGGAGACGGCAGAAGAGAAGAAGAACGGGCAACTCAGACTGGAAACAAAGGCAGTGGGTCAAAAGTTGTGTCTCCTGAGTTTCTACCCACCAACTTTTTGGATCCCCTAAAAACGTTCCCTGGTTTCTCTGAGTCGATGGTGAGTTCAGCTGTCCCTTCCTGCCTTCACTGCAGTCCTTGGGGCTTCTCAAGCCTGCAGCCTGAGTAGCAATGATTGCCCCAGGACACTTACCATCCAGGCCCAGCTTCTTCCTTTCCACCTCCTTCTTGTATTCCTCCAGTTCCTGATCGGTTAGCTGGCTGAAGGGATTGGGGGGCTCGGGCTCAAGAGAGGCCTCCACGCCAGAGTCATCCTTCACCTCTCCATCGGCCAAACGACTCTCGGTAGACTGAAACAATAGAGAAGCCACGCATGACTCTCCCCTGGCAGTTTTCATGCCACAACTCCCCACAACTGAGTCTGAAACCAACTTCCTATCGGCATCCATGATGAGTTCGTGTGGCTGGATGGTTGTGCGCACACAACGATGAAATGAGCAGTGCAGAGGAGCCTTTCTCCCTTTTGCCCACGTATCATGGCACAGCCTGTGCGCGTGAAAGAGCTGAGGGTTGTAAGGCATCCCCTGCAACCCTCCTTCTGCCATTCATCCGAAAGCAGCAAGTGCCTTGGGCCCCACCTTCCCTCGCTTTGGCCAATTTCAATTTCTGAAAGTTGGCAGGGAACTTTAGGAGCCACTCCACATTTCTGCCTGCCCCACTTCTTCCCCTGATACACAAATAAAAGAAAATAGGCTGCTGGTGCACAAAGCCCTCCCCACTAGCAGTTGGGTGACACTCCCTGGAAACTTTGAAAAAAGGCTCCCTGCCATGGCATCCTTCTTCATGGTTGTTAAAAATCCTCTGCTACTTGCAATGTTGGAAAGCAGCTCAAGGGCATATTTGCAATGAGCTCTTCTCACAACAGACAAATTTGCCTGGCAAAGCACGAGCCAGAGTCGGCCTTGTCTAGCTGGCATGAGGAAGAAAGTGCGTGGTGCCACCTCCCCCTCTTGGACCCAGAGCCGAGGGCAGAGCTACCCCTCCAGCCCGCCTGGGATTTGCTGCTTCTGCTGCCCATGGCTGGGGCTGAAGAGGCCTGAGAGGGAGTAGCACAGGCTGGGAGGAACTGCCAAGCCTGATGCTCCTGATGCCAGCGCCAGCCTGTGATGCCTACCGGGCTCCTGCTCTGCTCTGCGATCACGCTGGCCAGCAGCTGGGACTGGGGTCCAGCCGATTTCACCTCCTGGCGGTTCTGTTCTCGGATCTGCATGGAGACAGACATGCCTGTCATGGGGGAGGAGCTGAGCAGGGACAGCCCTTATGTGAAAGGCAAGGGAGGGGGAGGCAGACGTCCCCAGTGGGCAGAAATAGGCCGCTGCCCGTCCTCCAGACAGGAAAAGCCACTCGGGCCAAGGAAAGGGGGATATGGGGAGGATGGGTCTGCCTGATGGCCCAGGAGAGACCACCTCCAAACCACCAGCCAGTCTCTCTGGCCCCTTGCCTAGCGGCCTTCCGAGGCCAAGACAGAGGGGTGAAGAGTAACTCCAGAAGAAGGGGAGGGGGCCAGATGGTTCCCATCACTGCAAGGGAACGAGAGCTGCTGCCCAAACGGCGAAGCCATACATGGCGCTGTGTGAAGGCCAGGCACCATCCTTCCGATGATCTCACCTGCCTCAGTGGCAACCTGGTGTCCTGATGCCCATGGCATCCTTAGTGTTGTTTGCAGTCGGGTGTGTGCGGGGCATGGTTCCCCCCTGTCTCCTTTCACAGAGGCTGGGCAGAGGTTGCGACGCCAGAGGGCAGAAAATAAAGCCCAGCTCAAAGATGCCTTTGCCAGCAGCAAAACCGGACACCGAATCCCAGGGCTGGGAGGGGCCTTGGGGAGCTGCTGGCCCAAACCCCCGTCAGAAGTAGGAGACGCGCTTGGCCCTAACAAACATTCCAAAACTGGGTGGCACATTCAGCTTGTCAACGTAAAGCCTGTTTAGTCAAGGCCGCTTCTGGACGGGCTGGCCATTAGCTCAATTGGTGAAGGAGCTCAGAAAGGCTGGTTGGTTCTTTCTCCCTCAGAACCACCAAAGTCCCAGGGAGCCCGAGAGGAATCCAACCCCCTGATGGCCTCCATGGCAACCCCAACATCTGACCTGCCCGCTCACCCGGAGCCTCTGCTCTTTCTAGGAAGCCCTGGGGACAGCTGAAACCAGGCCCCAGGAGGGAGGGGCCACTTCGGACAGCGACCGGAGGAGCCAAACCGTCCTGTACCTTGTTCCTCATTTCCAGGACTTCTTGAGGGTCTGTGTAGAGAGGCACAAATTGGTTGGGGTTCTCGATTCGGATGGACATCCCACTGCTGGACTTCTCCACGTCCTCCGCTTTCATCCACTGGAGAGCATGGGGGAAACAAAAGAGAGGCTAACTGAAGGAAGGCCAGGGGTCTCCCTGGAGCAGCCCTGAGATTCCACGGAGGGGCCTGGAGGTTGGAGAGCAAGCTGGGCGAGTTAGCTTCCACCTGGGCCCTTCAGGGACCCTCAATGGCTGCCTCCACCCTGCTGCCGGAGAGGGTGGGGGAGCATGAGAAGGAAGGGAGAGGGGCACCTGGCTTTCTTCACCCACCCAGACAAGGCTCAGGGCTGTTTTAGGTGGTCGGGCAAGAGGGTGGAGATGGGGTCAAATCTAGTCAGAAACACGTTTTGCTAAACGTTTGATAAGAAGGTGGGTCCTGTGGCTGCATTCATAACTGCAGTAGGAAAATGTCCCCTTTTACTTTGCATCATTTAGTCGAGGCAAGAACTGCCAGCCTATCCTCCTGTCCAGCTTCTCTGGTCCCAGGGGGGGGGGAGTCCTCTGTAGCCCACATGGAGCAGCCTCTGACTCACCTGTGCCCAACTTCTCCACCCACTATCCCACCCTGCCTGCCTGGCTTTAGCTCTTCCTTCCAAGGCCCCAAATCTCAACCCATCCTGTGGCTTCCCAGCTGGGGAAATGATCTAATTTGGCACCCAGCAAGGGCCTCTGGAAGCCCACAAGCTGGAAGGCAGGCAACCAAGTCCTCTTCTGGCTCCTGGACTCGGATGCTGCAACTGTCTGGGATGGGCTTCGTTGGAAGGCAAGCGCCATGCAGCCATCTTGCAAAGGCCGTTTATTAACCAAGGGAGGTGAGTCCCTTCTAAGAGGCTTCTGGATCTCTGGAATGGGTCTCCTTCTGTGGAAACAGCTGATGCCTGTGACTGCCAGACCAAGAGGGAAAGTTCTCTGCCAGGCCTCAGAAGATCCAACCTCTGAACTTCCCCAGTTGCCCTGGGGCTTTGCTCTCAATATGACTTTGCCAAGACCTGAGCTTTCTTCCCCGCAGCCAATTGGAGCCATGCTGGCTTTTGGCCTTCCTGCTCTACTGCACTGCTCCTAAATCTACTCCCCACAAGGGGAATCCATAGTCCGGCTCCCCCCAATTTCTACAGTCACCAACAGGATGGTCGTCCCTCCTCGGCTCTCCTCCCCTACTTTGTGCGCAGGGCAAGAAGGTGCCCCCTCTCTTCTAACCGTGGCTTTGGATCTCTGGCTGCTGGCGCCGCCTTGGCTGTCCTCGGCCACCTTCACACGCAGGTAAGTGTTGGGCGTGTTCAGCCAGCGGGTCTTTTCCTTCTGTTGCTTCTGGGCGTGTTGCCGGAGGGTGGAGATGGGCCCGGCCTCCTCCTCAAAGACGAAGGCCGTGACAGTGGCTGGGATCTCCACCTCACTCTTGTGCTTCGTCTTCTCCTGGACAAATGGGTAGCGGTACGCATAGCCAGTCCGGTAGCCCTGGGAGAGAGAGAGAAGGAAGACACTGCACATCGCTGCTCCCACCAAGAGCCTGCCTGCCTTCCGCACCTCTGCCTGGGACCCAGCTCATGCAAATTCCAGCCTCTGGATTAGAACTCAAAACCCTGAAATGCCTCCTGTTTGGTAAACGTTCTTGGGCTGGGATTCTCCACCTGTGTGTTTGCCTGCACGGGTGACATTTCTGAAAACATAACTTTATGACCAATGCCCACTTTTACCACCTCTGCAGAGTCCCTCAGTCACAGGATCACCCTTACAGTCCGTACGCCTTGTTCCTGTGCCTGACCTGCTATTCTGCTTCCCCCCCTCCCCCAACAGAATGGAGAGATTAGTGGAAGGGATTACAGAAGATTAAGCAAGCACACAATAGGGAATATATTTTGAAAGCAAGGTGGTGGCACTGGCAGCCCCAAGTTTGCCACACAAACAGACCAATGTTATTCTCTATTGTATGCTTGCTTATTCTCTTGTAATCTCTTCTTTTCTAATTTCTCCACTCTACAAAGGGGGTGGGGGAATTCTGTAGGCAATCTTTCTTATGCCTTACAAAGCAGAGAGATTGGAGAAGATGGGATTATAAGAGAGTAAGCATGCGCACAATGGGAAATTTTGAGCTGCCACCACAAGCGTGTTCCTTTCAATGTCTATTTCCCACTGTGTGCTTGCTTACTCTCTTGTCATCCCTTCCTTTCCTTTACAAATGTAAATACAAACATTAATTTCCTTCTTATTAATGATCCCAGCACCAGGGTCGCATTCCAAAAGCCAGCACATTTGCAGGAATGTGATTTCCTATTTAGCAACTGGTTTGTTTAGTGATAGAGCTGCAGGTCCCAGTTAAAGCCACTGAATGAGGACTACCTATACCTATTTTGTCTTGCAAAGCTCTTTTGATTCTGGAAAGAAAGAGGGCTCTGGAACTTCATGGAGATGCTGGAAGACCACACGGAGCCTTGAAGTGAAGACAGCAATCATCCACCAAGGGTGCTTCGTGTGGACATTGTGTGGTCCCTCAATGGCTCAGCTCTTTTTTCTAAGCAGTCCCTGTCTGATGGGCCAGCAGAAGCCCTGCAAAACCCACCTGCTCAAGCTTGCCTCTTTCCCTCCAAAGACTCACTTTGGTTTACAAATATCTCCCTGCAGAAATGCCAATTTTATGACAATGGCAGGGGACGTATTGGGGGGAGCTTCTCTGCTCGCAAACCTACTAGATTGTCCAGCATCCTCATTAGTGCTTCAAATTCATGCTCTCCCAGGCGGCTCTTCTGCATGGGCCCAAAGGTGCTGCCAGCCCACCGGACCAGACCCACATCGTGAGGCCTTTGTTTCTCTCCCTCCAAGAGGATGAGATGCTCAGGTCCACCGGCGCTAGACAAGGCAGCGACCTGGAGGAGGTAGGTGACAAAAGAGAAGCTGAGAGGCTCTTATCAATTCAACCACTGCTCAACCAACACCATATAGATTTCTTATTTGGGATAGTTTGAGGTTATGTGTTGGAAGGAGGGAGGGAGGAAGGAAGGACGGACGGACAATCTTGTCATGTATGATAAGGGAAATCCACACTTGAGCAAGGAGACGATTCTGGAGGAATTGCAAGTTATCATCAAGATTAGAATGTCACCGGGCTTCTGGTCTGGGCGTTGTCTGTGGGAGCTGTTTCGTTTTTAGCAGCTCCGGACCTGAGGCTGCGTTAAGCTGTCTAAACAGCATCCATCAGCTGTTTGACAGATTGATNCTGGTAGTTCTCCAGTGCTCCAGGATCTCTGAAAGATATAGTTCAGAGCTTCTGAGCTCTCGTCTGCCAGTTCCTTCAGAACCCTGGGGGATAAACAATTGGTCCTTGTGATTTGAATTTGTCTAGGCTAGACAGGTGCTCATTTATCATTTTCTTCCCTATTTCAACTTGTGTTCCTAATCTGATTTTTGTGCTGCTGTTTTTGATAGGTTGGACTGTTTTATCCCTTTGTATAAAGACATATGCAAAAAATGAGTTAAATAGTTCTGCTTTCTCCCTTTTGTTTGTCACCTTCTTGCCACTTTCTCCCAGCAATGGACCAATTGTTTCCTTAACCTTTTTCTTGTTTTTAACATGTTGGAATAAGCTTTTTTTTGGTTATTTTTTACTTTTGTGGCAAGCCTTTCTTCATTGTGAGCCTTCTTCTTTTAGGTAATAAAATATCTCTGACATGATGACTCAATGGGACACAGATTGTCTATTTTTCAATTAAGGGGACATAGAGTGATTCTATGAGAGGGATAATGGTCTTTAAATATGATATATTCATATATTTAAAAAATAAATATAAAGTTGGAAAGATAAGTATTTTGTGAAATATATGCTGCAATACTATGAGGTGATATCTCATAAAGAACATCTTAATTTAAGATTAGATTAGAGGCAGAGGCATAAATAGTCATAAAACCTGCAAGTACTCGAGGAGGAGATGATGGTAGAAAATCAAGGTCACAATCAATTGTCAATACTGAGCGTCTGTTAAGGGTACATATCTTACAGCAGGGTGTCAAACAGGCAGGCCACAGGCCAGATATGCCACAGGCAATGCTCACCCCAGCTCTGTGAATGCAAAAAATATCACAAAACGTGATGGCAATGTGACACTGCAAGCTTGACATCCTTGCCTTACATGAAGCCAATGAGGAAGCATTTTTCCTTAGTTCTGCAAATAATTCAACCACCTCTTGCATTGACACAGCTAATATTGGTAATAGTGATGAGAAGAAGTACCAATGGATTCTATGGCCTGTCTGCATATTGGTGACAAGTGAAGAACTGATAGGAATTTTAAGAGAAAGAAGCATTAGCACCTGATGACAATTAACAATAAGATAGCCACTGGCTGAATTTACACTAAGCCAGTGTGCTTTTAAGCTTAGTATTAAGTCAGGGGCCAGCCAATGAGACCATGCTTAAATGTTGTTAATTGTAGGTAAATATGTATAGGTGAAAGTGTAGTTTTGACTGTGAGCTGTGAAGTCAGAATGCATTTTTTTCTTTACTTGAATGAACAGATACAAATTTGATTATGTAAGAACAAGGAAACAAGCAAGAGTTGTGCCTAGTAGCAGCATGAAGAAGGGATGTGTTCTTAATCTACAACTTCCCTACTTTCATCAATGTAGATCTTTACATGTGAGGCACATGTAAACATTAGAAGTTACCTGACCTGGTAATTTATTTGCCTAGGTAGGAAAGAGGCTTTAAAAAAAATTATATCAGTTCACAGTCTGCAAGTGTTGCATATTCATATCAATCTTAGTTCATACGCATTTGAAAATTCAGGGAATGAGAATACTCTAGTTGCCTCTGTATTGCTTGGGGGTTTGCTGTTTTATCCTATCAAGTCAATTCCCCTCCCCCTCAAATTGAATCAGCACATGTACATTGAAGTTTTCAACATCACCCACAAGGTTTTTAAGGCTTGTCATATGAATCTGCATAGTCTCTAATCATGAATAAAAATTATTTCAGATATCATCTTTATTTCAAGTTTTATTTCATGGGATTAATTTAACTGATTGTGCTGATGGCAGTATTAAGTTGTTACTGCAATAAATAAATGTTCAGTTTCAAAAAAAATACAAAGCTCTGGATTTAGTTAATTTTTACTATATTTTTGCAATCAGTAGAAGAATTCAAAAGTGCCGCCTTGGTAGTTTACAATGTTATATCATTTTTATAAACAACATGGCCCTTTTATAAATGAGAAAGGTCTTAGAATTTCTAATTTTCTTTATGGCATCCTCCACAACATTTTTTAGTTTGGTTTCTTATATATGGATGTGAAAAAATCTATTTGGGAAAAAAATGTTTATACAGGTTTCTAAGCTGTCCTGGCATAGAATTAGGAAAACCTTGATGGTGATGATCCAAGATATAGATTTCGGCCGGACTGGGGGATGCAAAGTAACTTGAAAATGTAGCCATTGTCAAGAACCAAAGCAGCAGTTAATATGTTGAAGGTTAGATCAGTAGTGTGCAGCTTTCACAAAGGCAACTCTGGAAGAGCTGGTAACTTCATTACAAAAATGAAATTAAAATAAGACTGTACATAATATAATCAATTATTCAAAAAGTTCCCTCATCTGGAACTTCTGGTCTGGGCGTTGTCTGTGGGAGCTGTTTGGTTTTTAGCAGCTCCGGACCCAAGGCTGCGTTAAGCTGTCTAAACAGCATTCATCAGCTGTTTGACAGATTGATTACCTCTCCTTCGGACAAAGAAGGAGAGGTGAGAAGCTGATTTTGGGAAGTGCTCCATTCAACCTCCCCCAGGAGATAAATCTGGAGTGTGGAAGGTGTGAGCCGCCCTGTAACCCAGTGAATTCTCCGTGCCAGGGATTTTTTCTGCCTTTTTGCAGAACAAAGGCATACGTCCACCCCCAACTCAATGATTGATTTATACCTGATTTCAACATGGGCAGACAAATACCGGAGAACTTCTAATTGTATGTATTATAGACTTTAACTCCATTTTTCTAAAAATTCCTTCTGATAAACTACCTGGCAGAAAGACAAAGATGGCGCCGAACAGTTTTGTAGGCGTGGCTGTGCTGTGATGTTACAGATTTTCACAGAGCTCAAACTATTATAGAGTTCAAGATCATCTAAAGATAATTAAATCAGTAGTGATTTATTAGTAAACTACAGAGTAATTACTGGAACAAGTGGCTTGCCTGGATTTATTAACTGGGTGCAAGATAAGATTAACTGAGGAAATGGCTTCTAAGCAAAAAACAACTAACACCTCTAAGAGCGCTGGTAGTTCACCTGCTCCGGCATCTAAATTACAGTCATTACTCCCCTCCCAACCCCTTCCTACTGCTGCTGGGGAACCTTTGACTTGAGAAATACTGCAAAAAGTATTAAATAATGCTTTAAAAGATCATGCAGCCGCGATGGAAATTAAAATACAGGAAAAGATCTCTGTTTCTTTTAAGGAGCTGTTGGAAGAAATTATGGGTTCGGTCCAGATTCTTAATCAAGGAATTAGAGATGATATTTTAGAGGCTTTTAAATGCTTATCTGGCTACGTATCAGGAATCGAGGATAAATTGGAAGATCTTAGTGATTCTAATATTAACCTGGTAACGAAAATGGATGTGGCCCAACGCAAGGTTGAGGATGCAGAAAATGAAATTGTAATGTTGCAGTATAGACAGATGGAATTTGCTTTAAGAATAAGGGGCCTTAAAGAGAAAAATCAAGAAAATCTGAAGGAGATCTTCTCAGAAGCTTTTGATCAACTGATGGGATGGCCAGGAGGGGACTTTGACTGGCAAATTGACAAGCTATATTGTGTTAATTCCTGGCTTGCCAGACAAAAACAACTTCCAAGGGACATTGTGGTATATTTTGCTACAAGGGATATGAGGAATCTGATATTACAAGAGTCTTATAAAACCAAGTTGCA